CTAGTTTTGTTTGGTTTGGGTTTCTTTTTTCTTTTCCATGAGAAAGAWAACAAAGACGTTTCAAAAATACACTTGGTGGTTGAACGTTTAGATGGCGCGGGTGACTTTGGCATGCAAGTTTCAATCTCTGCCCAAAGGCTGGGCTTCCTTTATTTTTCCCTTGTTTATCCACAAGGTACGTGTTCAAGCAAAGGGCTGGTACAGCCCCTTTAAGGAGCTGTAACAAAAGCAGCAAATCAAACAGTTCTGTAACAAGTGGTTCAGTGCATATAGAAAGACCTCCATCGATGGTTATTTATTCAGTCTCTTGCTGTAAGATTAGTCCCATTATGTGCCTCCTATGCATTCCCTTCCAATTCATCCAATTTAAATAAAAACATTCTGCTAGAACTCATGTGCATATCAGTGACATTCATCTAAATAAAATATCCCAGGCACTCGAGTCTYGGGAACAGTCTTATGAAGAAGCAGATCATATTCTATTTATTTGGAAATGGGATGCATGTTGACGTTGGGCTTATTTCAAAATAATGTCAAAATGTTAAAATCTTTATGAATTCTTAACATTAAATTTTATGAAGACAGAGATGTTTACTGGGATATGATGCTGAGGGCTAAGACCAAAATCAACTGCTGAAGATGAAAAAAGCGCAGTACTGCCATAGGGAGGAAGAGGGAACAACCACAAAGTCAGGGTAATCAGACCTGTCTTTTTTATCATTTTTATTTTTAATGCTTGATGTTAGTAATATAATGTAATTTATGTACAGTGCTGGAGTAAATTGGTAGCTCTTGCTGGGTGAACGCACAAGTATTATCTTGTGTCCTTTAAATGTGCTGAATTTTTTCCTACAGAAGCCTGTCAAGTCTTTTCTCCCAGTCAGAGGTCTGAAGAAAGTGAGGAAGTGTAGATAAAACCAGCTTGTTTAGTCATGGAAACACAGGAAAAATTAAAATACATTTTTTGCTTGTAAAGAAAAGCARTAAAAACAATGCCAGACGGTTAATGCTTCTCTTGTACCTTTCATTTCAAAGACCTCAAAAGAACATCAAGAAGAATAAAGGCAAAATCTATTCCCTATTGGCATCATTATAAATGTTGTATCCTCTAAAACTCTAAAGACATCCAAGAAGAGTAGAAGAATAAATGGCATTGAAATAAAGAAAGTCTCTCTGGAGCTTTGTTCAATCGGCTTTGTTAGAATTCACTCAAATAGGATGATTATAAGAAAAGATCTCATTTGTTTCAACATTAAAGGAGCAAATTAATATGTGGCAAGCTGCTAATAATTGCCTCATTATGTAGTGAATGGGCACTGCGTCCAATTTACAAAATTACAATCATATTGTTAAAGTAACAATTGAGAAAGTTRAGTTTCCTAACTCTCTGCATGATTAGTTGTGGGACTCAGAGTGGAACAGAGTTGGTGGTTGGAGAGRGCTCTCCACTGGTCTATAGTGCTGAGAAGCCACAAGAGAGATTCAGCTTTTCATTAGTGGAAATTCAGTCTGCAGAGGTCCTGAGCTGGATTTGGTATAGCTGAGGAGTGAAGCTGGCGGTGTCTGCTGGGACCAGAGCTCGGTGTGTGCCTGCTCTGCCCAGACACTGCTTTGTGGTTCAGAGATTGTCCCCACACTGACCTCAGCTGATCTGCAGGGCTGTGGCTGGGAAACCAATGGCAAATCTCCCCTTACAAATGGTTCTGTAGCTGGAATTTCAGTCCCTTGATGATTCTGGAGTCTGGAAGTCTCCCTTGGTGGAGACACTGCAAACGGTGGGGGGAGGGGTCAAATTTGGAAAGTAAGCAATTTTCCAAATAATGAAATCCTATGTGGAAGAGAATCATGTTTTGTGATCTACTTTAGTTAGATTTGCTTGTGACCTTTTCTAATTCTGGCTGATTTYGTTATTTAATGATTTGACCTTTGATTCTGTGAAGCCACTTCAGTGCTAAATGCAAAGATTTAATAACTAGAACTGTTTGATAAGTGACCTTTATTACACAGCTATTTCTCTTTGCTAGAGAAATGGCACTGTTTTGCAAGTTCTAATTCACMGTTTTAATTATCTTTTCTATTGTCTGTAAGCTTGCACAGGAAATGGAAAGGTCAGACATTTCATTTTCTTTACTGATTAAAATATAAGTGTTCCTCAACAGTTACAATGTATCATTCAGGAAAAAGATGGGATTATTTGTCAGAACCATGCCCAGCTGCTCTGCTGAGGACTTCTACATCCTTCTGGTCAGCAACAAAATGAATAATTTTCTAGCTGCARTAATAGCTCAGGCCCCAGGTGTTTAGAGGTGAAATAAATGTCTAAGTACATGAAAAGAGAAGAAAAGGTGAATGGTTCCTAATGTTTTTGTCTTTAAATCATATATCTAGGATGCAAGTGAAGGAAGATCTTGTGAGAGGTAAATTTGGCCTGATATTCTGGGCCCAGAGAGGATAAGCAGTGGCAGCACAGGTTTCTATGTCCCTGTCTCTGTCAGTGCCACTGCTGCTGGACCATCTCTGCAGATGGGAGAGAGCCTGGGCTGCCTGGCAGAGCCATTTGTGTAGAATGTGGGTTCATGTGCGCTACAGAAACCATCCCTCTCTGTGACACTCACAAACCAACACAAACTGGTGATCTGTCTCCTTGTGGGGTTTGATGAATGAGTATTGATGTGTGCTTTCTAATATGTTGAAGGAGAAATGATGCAAAAGATGGTGAAGACAGTGGATGATTCTGGAGTCTGGAATATCTGTCATGGGTGTCAGTCTCCTAACTCTAAAGGGGATCTCTGTTGAGAAATACGCATATTGGGACACGTAAAATCTCTCTGTTAAAAAAAAAACCTTACTCTGAGATAGAGTTGGAGGGGGTTAGCCTCTGACTGTGTTCAAGAAGAGCAGATTATACGTTGACCTAGTGCAGGCATTCAGTGTTATGAAAGCACTTTATAAATTGGAACAAGATAAATGAATCACAACAAAAGRGCTAGAAAACCAGGGGACACAGTTGCAGGAGTGAGTGTACTCAGTTTATTCAAGCAGAACAGTGGCACTCAGTGAATAGAAAATGTGCAATGCATTTCTAACTAAGGTCAGAAAATCAAACAATTCCAAATTTAAGAGAGCAGCTCCATTTTAATGGAGAAGGAAGAATTTAGTGTAAAAAAAAAAAAAAGAAGCAGCGCTGAGGGTGAGACAAATTTAAATGGAACCAGATTCTTGACCAAATTGGCTTTTCCTCTCTAGCAGTTTCATATTCAGCATTTGTTAGTTTGAAAGTTCACCCTGAAAGCTATAAATTAATCTGCTGGGACTGTAACAATTCACTTCATGCTAGGGTATGAGTTATGCCTGTGGATTTGTTTAGGTCACCCAGCCATGTCCTCATAATGTATCTTAGAGAGAATTTCTGTAAGTAAGCGGTAAACAGAAAGACTTTTGTGTTCAGCTGCATCTCCTGGGATTTCATCCCTGCTGTCAGAGAGCCTTGCAGGACAGCTCTCTAAAACTACAGCAGCTATAAAAAATGCATRGTGTTCTGTAAAGGAAACACTGACAATGCTTTTGCATTCAATCAGGAATCTTTAGCTACTGATGGAATGAGGAARGAATGTTTTCCTGAGCCACCCACGTAGAGAAATCAAATCAATCACAATAGAGAAATCAAAGCTCTGAAATTGTGAGATTTATTGCAGAAGTCTTGCAGGATGCACCTTAATTCAGTACAATATTTGTCACCCAAAGATGAGGTATTTTGGCTCTCACAGTTTGGCTGTCTTCAAATGTTTGTCTCTTGTCCTTGCATTATTCCTCCTTATCGAAGAATTKGATGTTTTGTCAGCAGCCACGTCCTAGGGTTATAGTGGTCAAATGTGGGCAGGCTATTCATCCACATCAGCTAAATGAGCTGTGATTTTGAAGAGAAATAACYACAAGTCTGATCAGAAAAGCACCTAGCATCCTGTCAGAGTAAAYGTCCAAAGAACGTGAAGGGAATTATTCCTAAGAAATATTAAACTCAGGTCACTGGCTCCCAGTGAGCATGACAGAGGATCAGATCTGTGACCACACAAAAAATTGTAGGTTATCTCYGACCCAGATGWTCTTCTGTAGGTTTATTTGGTGGATCTAGTTTTCATTTGATTTCAATTTCTAACTGAACTCTTTATACAATCCARTTTAAATACAGCTCATTTCCTTTTAGGCTGTTGGTACAAAAGAGCTGAAAGACATTTACGCTTTATATTCTGACAAATGGAACATCAGGTTCCTATATCTCTGCTAGATAATTTTTCYTATTTTCAATTCATACTGGAATAATAGCACCCTAGAATGTGGTCAGGAAATCCGTCTTTGACTTCAGTTTTCCCACGATTAAGTTCCTAGTTCAGGTGTCACCAGTCCATCTGCCTCTCATTTTCCGTGGGTCATAACCACACTCTGGAGAGAACAATTCCTTTGTCTACCTCTCCTTTGCAACTACAGGATTTTCTTATTATTAGATTGCTTTTTAGTTACATCTCCCATTCGACTTCTGTCACGAATTTGGGAGCTATTCATTCAGACACAAACACAGTTAGTGTACACTTAAATTTCCAGCATTGCTTTTCCAGTAGGTTTTTTCCTGTTGCTTGTTAAAAGAGAAGCCATTGATCTAAATATTGTTTTCTACTGGTTCCTTATTTCCTTGTWTTTTAGTGAAAAGAGTAMCATTTAGAGGGGGGAAAAAAGGAGYGATTATTTGTAKAGTTGACTTTGCAAGGCGGGAACAAAGCAAAGATTGGAACTGCCTATTTCACTGAAAAGGTTTGCATTCAGAGCTTTGTAGTGGTGGAGTTTTCAAGCAGCTCAAGCAGCCACATGGGGATTGTGGTTTTGTTTTTTTAAAGAGAAGCATTTTTATCAATTTGTTGTACCTGTCTTTCTTTTAAGTGAATTTTCACTCTTCATGTTTTACAGAGGAGAACTTGCAATCTGTATTGTTGTTTCTTGTCTTGCAGCCTCTCCAGCTTGACTGTGACCTCTGTGCCATTGTTTCCAACTCGGGACAGATGGCTGGCCAGAAGGTGGGAGCCGAGATAGACAAGTCCTCCTGCATATGGAGGATGAACAATGCCCCCACAAAGGGCTATGAGGAAGATGTTGGGAAGAGGACAACCATCAGGGTGGTCTCTCACACAAGCGTGCCACTCCTCCTCAAGAATCCAGAGTACTTCTTCAAAGAAACCAACAGCACCGTTTTCGTGATCTGGGGTCCTTTTCGAAACATGAGGAGGGATGGAAATGGCATTGTGTACAACATGCTGAAGAAAACTGTTGACAGCTACCCAACTGCCAAAATCTACGTGACAACGGAGAAGCGCATGAGTTACTGCGATGCCGTKTTCAAGAGGGAGACGGGAAAGGACCGGTAAGTCTTAAATGTGAAGAACAATTATAGTGTTTGACAAAAGAYACATGAGAAAAGTCCATGCGGGATGCCAGCTACTAAATGAGTCCCCAGATATGYTTGTAATGGATTGTTATATGGGTTTGACTGTTATAAGCACTTGATGAGGCAGCAGCTAGGCCCCATTTACCCCACCTACGCTACCTTCTGTTCGTTCCATTTCTGTTGGCTTGAATCCCAAAAATATTGGATGYCTTCCTGAAATGTTTTCAAAGCTGTGTGTTGTTTTCAGCTCAATTTATTATTGATTAAATTGACATTTTATTTGAAGAGGATAATCCTACACAAACAACATTTCCAAATGCACAACCTCAGGATAATTCTGGGTATTGTATTTTCTTCTTGGTTGAGATTCGCTGTAGCTTTTCTTCAAACACAGAACTCAGGGTTATGCGTTATTTCTGTTTCTTGGTGAAAATGGGTTCTCAATGATACTGGAATAGATTCAGGTTTCTACCATGATTATGCTGATTATTCCATGCCTGGGAATGTGTGTTTATGCTGCTCAAGTGGAGGCTGTACGAGGTGAAAGTGTGAGGGCTGCTGTTTTGGCTAGCATGATCAAAGCAAAAACTGGATTTGTAGAATTAAGACCRCAAACTTCAGGAATTTGTAACCAAGCTAGGAAAATTCAGGTCATCCGTGTTTTAGCTTGGAAGAGCACCTGTCACACATACTCACTTGAGCTAACTAGGAAGGAGTTTCAGATCTCTGCTCTGCCTTAATATTAAGTTTTGARTTTGCACATCATGAATTTGAGGTTGGAAAGGACTGTTCCTATTCTGATTAAATTAAAGATGCAGATACTCACAAAAAGCTAAATGTAGTCTGAAATTTTGACTTAGCTTTTGAAGCAGAAGAGCTTGTTATCTCAAACGTACTTGTTTCACTATGTTCTTAAATATAGTGAATTAAACATAGTTGGAATTTGGTGACAGTTGATTTTTCCTGTTTTTCAAACTATTGAAACGTAAGGAAGGGCTTGCCCCTCTGCTTGTTCACCATGTGCACGTGCTGCTGCTGTGATTCTGGACTTGGAGGTATCAAGGTTATCATGGCTTCTTTAGTTTAACTCAACAAACTGATGAACAGAGGCTAATAAATACACAGGATCCTTTCTTCAAAAATGACCTTTAATAATCCAAGTCATCCTGTTTACATATTAATCAAGCTAAATATGCTCATGAGTACATTATTGCRTTGCTGTATAAAAATTTGTTTGTATTTATGAGTCAGTCAGGTCACAGAGACTACAATACTTCATCAAAATCCTTGTTGTGAGATCAGACCTTGAAAAAAATGTCCTGTTTTTCCTGCCAAAAAAACCTCATCATTCAATGTCAAAGTATCCTTCTCTCCAGCCTAATCCCCTTGTCTTCAACAAATTAACACATCTCAAGTTTTTATAGTTATGCAATTAACACAATACAAATGCTTCTTTTCATGTCAAAAGCAGATTGAACTTCTCTCAGTGCTTATAACAAAGTTCTTAAGCAGCCTAATGCCAAAGTGGCCCATGTTCTTTCTCCTTAAATTTCACATTGCAAACAGCAATAATTTTTTACAAGCCTGTCTTATGACCTGTCACAATATTTATGTGTGTCCCTTCGACACCGAGAAAAAAAMCCGCCACTTCCCACAGTGGCAACCAGGGAACATCCTTGTGTCTACTGCAACTTTCATTTTTAGTCCTACTTTTCCACATCAAATACTTAGTGATGTTTTTAACATCATTTACTGCTCTTGTCMGTCAGAAACGAGGGGAATGATTGATGCATCAGCAGCCGACACCTTCTGTATCTCAGGAAAACATCCCGCAGTTCCCTACTAATTGGGGACTTTGGAAATTTGGAAACTGTTTCATTTTCTGTAAAATCTTCAATTTGCTGGACTCATCTTCTGTTTCTACGAAGGGTCATGARGTTGTTAGAGGTATCTGGCATTTGTGGAAGCAGTAAATTGAGAGCACGGGAGATTTGTAGGTGATGAAAATACTTTTGCACATTGTGCCAGGCTGTTATGATGCTGAGACAGACTCGGGTTCCCCAGCCAAATATTCCTTCAGTTCCTCAGAGAAACATCAGCCCTTGCTTAGAATATTAGATTGAATGGAGGTCTGTTTCAGCATGTTTCCAGCAAAAATTCTGGAAGGAAACCAATTTCAACTCATATTTTAAAATTTACTGAGTGGATTGCAACTACATCTATTTTAGTTTAATCTTAAAATACTGTCTTTCTGTACAGTGTATGCTACTAATGCATAGTGAGATGGCAACAGATTTCTAGTCTGTCGAGCCTTTAATGAGTTTTCTGTTTCTACTCTTTGATGTACRATCTCTTTAGGTAATTAGTGGGACTTTTCAGCAGTTTCATTCATGTAGTGCTCAAGGTTTTAAAGGTTGTTGTGAGAAACAGCTAACAGGTATGTGCTGCAAGTCACTTCTCTACTGCAGAAAAGCTCTGCTCCTGCGCTGCTGAGGTGGGAACTTTATTCCTGACTTCACTGGGTGCAGGCTAAAAAGCCACATTTTTAATATGGACAAATGATTTATTACTGATGCATGGAAGAAACAAGAATTGCCTCTGAGTAAGTTCCAACCAACAGTATTGTTTATTTTGTRAGGAAGCATTTTTTAATTCTACAGCAGTGCAAAATACCCTCTGATATGGGCTGTCCACACTGGGTTATTAACCTTGCACAAGTGGTAGGAATCTGGGGAACATATGTTCTTTCTGAGAGTCTTTGTTAGAGAAGCATTCGAGTTCAAGGTGGTGAATGCTCATCCACTTTGAATAATTGTTGTACATAAATAATATTCATTACCAGACATTCACAATTTTTCATTAATGCATTTTACTTGGAACTTCCCTAGAGGGAGCATAAAGCTGGCAGCTTTTTCCAGTACTTCACTAATGTGCTGGTGTATTATATATATTGACTCAAGCGAAAGGATTTAGAGAAATATTAGATAATTACTAAATGTGACATCTTTGTATAAACCTCAATCCAAATAAGTGGTTCTAAAGCCATCTATATCTTTGCCRTGCAATACAAATATAATGCAATATGATATAATAACATTTAATTGGTAATAACAGAGAAAACTGTAGTCTTCATTAAAGCAGCAAAGCTAATTCTGGTCTGATAAAGTGCACTGAGCATCCCTAAATAGGTTTTAATTAGSTGGCACCAAAGCTGCACCACCCTTAGGGAGGGTAAAATTAATGAAAACTAGCAGCAAATAGATCAATGCTACTGGATGTTCTTGCCTTGGGTGAAGGTGATGAGAAAGAAAGGAGTGTCTTTTAAGGATCATTTAGAAAACAGTCTGCGTTAAAAGTCACTTTCAACAAGCAACGCTAAAATAAATCTRTGCTATTATCAGTGGAGCAGTCCAATGTTATCTGGACTGCAGGCTCCATTTGTGTTTATCCTACAAACCCCTGAGYSCTGCACCTCCAGCAATGCCTGTGCCAGCCCAGCTCCCCYTGTGGGGCCGGCAGTGGGGTCAGARCRCTCCATTTGTGTTTATCCTACAAACCCCTGAGTGCTGCACCTYCARCAATGCCTGTGCCAGCCCAGCTCCCCTTGTGGGGCCAGCAGTGGGGTCAGAGCACTCCATTTGTGTTTATCCTACAAACCCCTGAGCCCTGCACCTCCAGCAATGGCTGTGCCAGCCCAGCTCCCCCTGTGGGGCCGGCAGTGGGGTCAGAGTGATCCTGTCCCAGGGGGAGGCACTGAGCCCCAGGCAGCAGCTGAGGGTGCTGCTGCTGCTCAGCACAGCTTAACTGGGAGCACAGTCATCCTTTTGTGGGTAACTTATGACAAATATGTCCAGAGCTCCTAAAATTCCCAATAAAAGAAGCAAGATTATGTTCTGAGACCCAGCCAGTTTGGGAGACAGCTGAATTTCCACATATGCTGTCTGAACTCTGGCAGCACCCATCCCATACCAAATCAGTTCAATTTAACATTTTTTTKAGATTATTAGCTACACCCGCATATCTTTGGGAGGCAGGTTTGCTGAGCCGTGTTTGCAGTGAAATGGCTGTTTCTAAAAGACTTCTGGACAATTCTGAGGAAACTAAATTGCTTTTGTGCTTCTCTTCCAGAAGTTCTTAGTTTCCTCTGTTCATGCCAGATGGTGCTATGTGTTAGGATGTGAAAAAGCTGTTTTATCATTCAAGGCAGAAAGATGTATCATTCTGATCGCTGACTTCTGCACCGAGATTCAAAATTTGGGGTTGTGTTCAACCTGCCATTTTACTCAGTTCTGCTCACTAATTATTTATTACTTCGGTGATATACGAGATCTATATTATATCTCTGCCATTTAGAGCTAGCAAATTACATTCATCTAAAATTTGGATTGACACKGTTAAGACAACTGCAGTCATCACAGCTTCACCTCAGCTAATACGTGGTTTTTCATGTGTCTGACTAATCTACACAAGGCTATAGTCTAGTAAAAATGTCATTGAAATGAATAAATGAAATTACATTCTCTGAGGTTCAAGTAGCTGCAGCTTCTATTGTTTGGTGATATTCTCTGTGAATTAAGCTAGTAAAACTGTCACTGTCCAAAACATCAGAGTTTTATGTGTGTTTCTAGTTGTTGGCTTGAATGAAATACTATAGTATTTCTATATATGYATTGGTTTCTCTATCAAAGTTATTCAGAGGAAGTAAAAAATCTTAGCTAGTGTTGGTTAAAATTTGCAGAAAGCAGTTTTCTGTTGGGAAGCTGTGAACATTGACACTGAGCCTGGTTCAGAGTTAAATTTTGGCACTTGGGAAGTACATCCAATCAGTGCTTTGTATGAATGTGATTTTTCAAAAAAAAAAAAATTCTGGAAGATGAGTTAAAGTTCATTTCATTTTGAGAAGAAAATGAGCAGAATTAGGGAATATCAATGTCTTTAAATTACAGAACTTTGGGAGGAAAATGGTGAAAAAACTA